GACTGAAGGAGAGAGAACGGCCCGAGGATGAAGAGGTTTCAGGGGGAATCACACTTGGAGGAGTTCAGATGTAAATGTTCTCACAGTCGGAAAGTTCTGAGACGAGGTGTGCATCGGTAAGACTCTGACGATACGATAGGTATCACGATACAGGGGGCAACGATACGATATATTGCGATACATTACGAAACTATAGGCTTGACGATATATTTCGTTATTTTTAGTCAAACTGTCACTCACTGAAGAAAGAAATAGAAAATGAACCAGGAATATTTGACCAGGAATTGGAGATAAAAAACGTCCATAAACCGATGGAGGATATTGATACGATATCGTGAAAGAGAAAAATCGTGATATTTCAATTTATCCATATTTTTCTTACAGTCCTTAGAGTCAAACCAATGTTGTTGTTATTATGGTCTGGACGTCATGGGTTTTTTTTTTTTTTTTCTTCTGACTTCCAGGTGAAGAAGGTTCCTCCGAGACGGGACAGAAGGAGACGTCCACCTGTGACATCTGTCAGTTCGGGGCTGAGTGCGACGTGGACGCAGAGGATGTTTGGTGAGTTCCGATATTACGTAACACAATTACGTAATATCTGTAAGAATTATCGTTATCAGTGTTTCCTCCGATCATGAAAACCTGATAACGCAATGCTTGGATTTTGCCAAATGCCGTGTGCCCAAAAAATTGTTTTGGGGAAAAACGGCTGTATGTGAAACTGAAAACCACTAGATGGCACCATTGCTGCTGGTTTTATAAATCTATTTTAATAATCAGGGGGTTGTGTGCAGAATGCTGGTGCCAGCAACTCATACGAGGAGTCGAGGGGTGTCGGAATCGGAAATTAAGTGTTTGGACAATATCGGGATATCGGCAAGAAGTTAATATCGGACAATCTCTATATAATATGTCAAATATATAAGAAAATGTAAAGGTCAAAATCAGTCAAACGTCACATTTTTAACCGTCCTTGAATGGAAACCAGAGTCGACTCTGACCTGGAGCCGAACACAGAAGTGACGGAGTTGAATCCATGAATTCAACAACTATTACACAGACAAATACAGGCAATATGTTTGTGCCCCTCACCCTCACCCTCCTCCCCGCCCCCCCTCCCTCCCCCTCTCTGGCATGAGCAAGAACAAGCGGCAGTGAAACAACATCCTCGGGGCTGCACAATAAACATGTGGCTACAGAAACCTAATTAGGTGGAGGCTCAAATGGTGGCCTGTTCTCCAGCTCTGGACGAGATGAGTTTGAACGTATTCTCCCTGGGCAGAGCAGCGGCAGGAGCTGTAAATGAGCAGACGTCACAGGTTTACAGCAACACAAAGACGACGGCCGTGAGAAATCCCAGATGCCCCACCATGAGAACTGCCCTGGGAGGACGACTCTGTCAAACTGCCCCCTGTAATGGGGGATAATGTGCCCTGGTGTGCAGTAACTGTGATGCTAAGCAGCAGATTTACGACGCGGACTCAGCCTGGAGTCGAACCCACTTCCACAAATGCACCTTAATGCAGTTCAGAACACGCCCACAGGTGGATTTATGGGGGGGGGTTTCCCAGTCCCCCCCCCACACCTCCCAGAGAAGACGCTTGTTGTCAA